AGTAAATTAGTTTTTGAAGTAATCGATCCTCCAGCATTATACCCTCCTTCTTCCATCATTACATCAAGATATACGGTAAACATTATTTAGTTATTGTCCACTGAACAAGTCTTTGAGTCCAATATTAATGTCAGTCTAACAACTCTTTGATTACCACTTATCGGCTATGTATACTTCGAGACAACTACTACCAGTACCTTATTATTCCACACCACTGAATATTTTACCATTTATACATTCACCTTTATTTATCAATAATGATATCACTTCACCTATAGGTCATTTATATGTACCACCAACTGCAATTAATATTTTTAATGCAGAGAGTGGCATTAACAAAACTATACAATTCTCAGCGACACAAAACGAAAAAGGTTAGTGTATAGCTGCGAATCTCACAAATAAATATTGTTCACCAGGATGAAAATTAATTGAAAAAATTAAATATATCAACAAAATGTTGAAAAATGGAATAAAATAGCTGGGAAGAAATGTGGTGAACAAATAATTTTATAGATTTATAGGAACGAATGAGTGGGATATGGCCCAGTGGAATGTTGTTTAGGCTGCCGGCTCAAACATCAAGCTTAGACTGCTGCTCTTTAGTCTGTCATTAAGAACCATATTCGGTTGGTCCTGAGAGCCTACCTAATTCTTTTGCAAATTGAATTTCTGCAGGCTTTCACTTTAGTTTTGCTTAAAGCCAACCAAACCAGAAATGAATATGTCGGAGAAAAAAATTTCACTAAATATTCTTAATACTTAATTGTAAATTTCAGCATTAACATCAGTAATTCATTCACTGAATAGTCAAACAATAAATAATAATGTATCAATCGTTTATTTTAATTATAATTTTAAATATTTTCATACAGTAATATGCTCGTCAATAGATGGCTTTCTCAAAGGAACTTCGATTAACGTTCGTTTTTAGAGAAAACATTCCAGTTAAAATTATTATTTACAAGTTGCAAATTTATTGTTAAAGAATATGATTGTTATCTCTTTATCTGAATTCCTGAAACCAAATGATTTTCAAAAATTTTCGGAAAAAATTCGAAAACTAATATTTCGTTGCTGAAAAATAAAAAATCTTAGAGTCAATTTTGTGCTAAATAACGATTATACTTTCTGAAATAATAAAGTGATAATAAATCTTTTAATCATATTACTTATTTTATAGGATTCTTATAAGAATCTTAGTATTAAAAGTATTGGATTCCTTAGCTCTGTGAGCCCTAAACAATTAGCCTATTGAACCCAAGTCAGCTTTTTCACAATATTAAGCGCCTCTTCATTGAGAAATTGGTACTCCTCAAATTATTAAACATAATTTAAGATGAATGAGAAATGGCAGTCGTTATGTAGGAAAGGCGATGAAAATCAATCAAACATAAAGAATGGTATTGTTACAAAAAATATTCATTTTGCCGATGAAATAATAATTTTTCATGGAAGTAATGGTGGTTATAATAACAAAAATATTAACATTAACAACGAGAATGTTGACTACGATATTTCAACGATTTTACAATTAAATAAAGAAACAAAGGATGAAAGTGAATCGAAATCAGGTTTATTATTTTCATTATTTTTTTCAATAACTTTGTTTTTTCAATCTTTTCTTTTATCCTTAAATTATAAATTCATTGATGAATTTTAGTGTTGAACGATAATAAATTTCAACTTCTTTAAATAAATTTGTTTGTGATAAACTGTAAATTTAATTTGAATTAAGAAGTAAAAGAAAGAGAAAAATTTACTAAAAAATTTTCACATTCACATTTGAAATTTTGCATTTAAATCGAAATTTTATTCAAAACTTAAACCATTTGTTCGCTTATTGTTTTTTTTTAGATTTTACATAAGATTTTACATATTTAAGGTAAATTTAGACATAAATTTCTTATCTACTTATGCAAACAATAGGCGCAAAATAGCAAAATATATTTAAGCTGAATTTGAGCGAGAAAACTATAAATTAAGCTGCATTTCTGATGGTATATTTAAGGTGTTTTCATAATAAAGATAAATAATAAAATATTTATGCAAAACTTCTTCTTCTAACGACTGTCACCATTACTGATTAGGTTGGCTTCGCTGCCTACAAGGATAAAACGTTTCCAAACTGCACGATCTGATGCCGTCTTTGGATATAGAAGTAGAATAGAAATCATTCCTTTTTCCATTATCTAGCCCATCGCTGGTCCACCTATATTTTCAAAATCTTTCCTAACTATACAAGTTCAGGTCTTGGTCAACTCGCTTTTGACGCCATTCGTCATAAGTTTTAGCGAAATACGTTTTAGCTTCTGTGATGGACGACGAAGAACGTGTCCTAACCAACGAAGCCGACGCTCTGTAATGGATATATTAATATCAATATTAATGTAATATTAATGCAGGTATTTGAAGCTGAGGTGGATGTGGATGAGATTTTATCAGCCTGTAAAATAAAATATATCTTAGACATGAGTGGTCAAAGGATGATAGCTACTTAATATCCTCCACTCCTATGTCTCGCCACCATATAGCAAGATCGAACGAACTGCAACTATATAGACACGGATTTTTGTTGTTATGGTGATTTTGCGATAATTCCACAAAGACTTCGTCGACCGGAAGAATGCATTTCTAACTATCATTTTCCGAATTGCAATTTCGTCTTTTGCATGGCCATTTGGGATTAGAGCGGATCCAACGTGTTTAAAATCGCATTTCCTCAACTGGCAGTGAATTCATAATAAATAAATATTTTATCAGCTTCTTATATATAAAATGAAAAATCTTTCGTTTTATTTGTAGTCCGATTCTCCCTGCAGTTATTGACACTTTTTATCATTATTCGCATTTCAATCATAACTGCTAGCAAAAAGGACTATATCGACGTATTCAAGGCCTATGATACGATGCTCTGGACTTGTATACCTTGTATACCTCAGCAAGTGTTCATTATCCAATCTAGAGATCCATTATCCAAAATACGTTCAATTGAATCTTGTAGGGAAAAGAAAGTAGCCTTAATAGATATCAGTTTTTATTTCGAAAGAGTCTGCCAATTCTTCATATATATAGATCTGTACCAATTCATGCTGATAAAATTTTTTTTACTCTAATGAACTTCTTGAAAAACTGTCGCTCTCCATTCACTTTCTCTCACTCTCCAAAGTGCCATTCTATCAATTGAATAGAAGGAAGCTGCAAAGTCGATGAAACATAACGGTGGACTGCAGATATTTGAAGCGATATTCCAACACCCTTATTAGCTTGAATATCTAGTCAACATAATCCCATCTAAATCCAGCTTGATTAGGGTGCATTCTGCTTCTATGAGTCTATTGAGTAAAAGAGAAGGAAAAATTTTCGCTGAGATGTCTAGGCTGATTCCCCTGGAATTGTCGCAGTATGTCCTGTTATCTTCCTTGGGAATTTTGAGCAGAATCGCTTCGTGCCAATCATCTGGTAATAGTTCTTTCTCCCATAGAAGAAAGTATATGTTGAAGCTAGTTATGAAGGACGACGGACACCATTGCGAGTTTTATTAGCCTTGAGCTTCTGGATGACAGCGATTACTTCCTATTCTGCTAACGATTCGCAGTATATAAAAGTATGGCTCGATGGGCGAAACAGGAATAATAGATTGAGCATCATGGTTAAATTCTCAAAGAATTCTTCCTTTCTTGCGAGGGATTGCTAATAGCCTTAACAAATTACTGTCCCGTATCATTTCACTGGCTTCTCCGTAAGTTATAGTTATTTTATGGAGAGGCCTAATAGTTTCCTATTATTGCCTAATCAAGTCGCCACCTCCATTTTCAAGGCGATATTGCTCCAATAGCGGTCTCTGTCTTACTGTTACCGTCATAATTCTTCGATGCATCCGATAGTCAGAATCTCCTGAATCCGTGCTTTGGCAGCCTTCTCGGACAGTTGGACAGTTTCTTCTGACATCCAAACAGCACACTTCTTACTAGTATATCCTAGCGTGGAAATGGCTGATTTTCGTATATAAGCCTTTAGTTTGACCAGCATTCATCTGTAATTCTAGAGATGTCGCTAGAGACATCTATATAATTATATCAATGTTTCCGAACTTTGAAATATATGCTTCTGAATCTTTTAGTTTGAGATAATTGGGGTGAAAAACCTTGAGGAGTGCTTTTTCTGCTATTATTAAAACTATTTCAAATTTAATAAAATTCATTTAATAAAATTGACTACATTTTATATTTATTAACAAAACTGTCTAAATTAATGAGAATATTTATTTTTTTGATTATATGTAAATAATAACATAATAATAACATTATTATTAAAATTATTTCAAATAAAAAATGGTTTTTGCATCGATTATTTCGAATTTCAAATATTTTATTTAACATAACAATAATAATAATAAAAAGGTACTTGAGGCAAATGAATTATAAACTGTCGTCAAAAATTTTATTTCCTTTTTAAACTATATACATGAAGTGCTGATCAACTGGATCAGTTGCATTAGTAAAATTTGGATTCAAAAAAAAATTCAGCGAATAAGATATCATATCACTCATTTGAAAATTTAATGACAAAATGGAATCAATTTTTGGTTTTAAAAATCTTTTTTTCACCTCCTATGGGAGTTAAGGAATATTTTCAATTTTAGGTCTTCTGCCGGAAGTATTACTACTGGAAGAATGAGGGTGCCACGTAGTATATATATTAAAGAACACCAAAAATTTGTATAAAACTAATTTCCACGAATTTTTCTAACTATTAAACTTTCTTTATGAAAATGATAATTAACAAGATTTGAAGGAGAGCAATTCAGAAATCTCTTTAATGCATCGTAGATAATCAGTATACTTATTGGTCTTTTTTAAATTCCCACAGCTTTTCGAATTTTGCTTAATTTAGCTAGCGCATTACGACTGCATCATATTATCAATCCAGTTTATGGCTATAATTAATTAATTAGCATTAAAATAGCCTGCCTTTATTTCTAATAAAATAAATATGCAATGCCAGATGAAATATCAAATAACGGCTATCAGTGTGAACGATGTGGCAAAATGTTTACTTATGCGTACTATCGTGAGAAGCATTTAAAATATACGCGATGTATTGATAAAGGTGATCGAAAATTTCGTTGTATCCTATGTCCAAGGTTATATTTTTTACCACTCTTATTTCTACATTTAAATAAATGAGTGGTTAGCGCTCCCCATTTCTGGCTAGGTTTTCTCTATAAACTTGACTGTTAGTTGCAGTTTTAAAATATTAAATCACCTTATCATTATTATCATGATTAAAGTGATCTTTTGTCATTTAGAGCTTGAGAAAAAGAAAATAAAATTTTTCTTAAAATTATCAGCATTTCACAAGTAAATAAGCAAAGAATATTCAAAAATTATAGCTCAAAATTACTCTATTTTCGAACTCGATTCAAAAATCTATTCTTTATTCGTTTACTGACAAAATCCCAAATAATTCTTTCATGCGAAAATCAGTAATGAATCGAAAACCCATATAAATTCTTATTTCGAATTATATAAATATTGAGCTTGGTTGGCAAATGATTTGACGGTTTAATGCAATTATTTATTTCATTATCCAACGTTAACCCAATAGAGAATTTGATGGACGAAGTAGTTTTACCGTATCTCAGTTAATTAACTATTAGCTAATTAACTGGTTCATTTAAGAAAATCAACAGCAACCGCATTCACTCAGATTCAAAAAATGCATTTACGATATGACGATAATACTTGATTTTTCTATAAATTTAAAAAAATTAATGTATAAAAAATTAATATGCAAATTAATATATAAAAATCAATATAAAAATATAAAATTAAAATTGATAAATTAAAATATATTTGAAAAAGAAAGACTGAAATGCATATATAGTTAAATCAAATTCATCTAAAGCAAATTTTTAAAATTAATGTAAAAAAAATCAAAATTAAGGTCATTCGAAAAACGTGATCGTTTACGGATACACGTACTTCACGTGCATGAAAATCATCGACCACATGCATGTTCAATCTGTGGGAAATCATTTTCTCAATCATCTAGTTTAAATAAAGTCTATTTTATTATTATTTTTTTCAATTATATTACATATGTATTTGTATTTATATACTAAAGAGGATTTTTGAAAAAGTATAGCTCATAGAGCCGTATATGAATGTGAGTGGCCTGGGCTATAGATTCAAGCATCATGATTCGATGCCGATTTTGATGGGATGAATGAAAAAAATGAGCCTTGTTATTTGAAATCAAATCCGGTTGGTGATGAGCATTGCAGTATTATGCACGCATAAATGCCAAATGAGAATTAATGCTGAATGGCCATCATCACCAGTAAGTATTTTCGAAGTTTCCTGCAAGATTCCTGCGATGCAATTAATATTTTTTAGCATTTGCGAGTGCATTCTGGCGAGCGACCTTATAAATGTGAATATTGTGATAAAAGTTTCACGGCGAGTAGCATTCTTAGAACACATATTAGACAACATAGTGGTGAAAAACCTTTTCGGGTAAATTTTTTCATTTCTACTGGTGATCAGTCAGTTATTAGAAACTTGTGTTGAAGATTAGAAAGGAAATTTTTTGGTTAGTTTGGTGGCATACGTGCCATCAATTTTCGTCTTTAACGACAAATAATTAACTCCTCCTGTAGATAATTCCTCTCCAAGGCAATCTAATTAACTTGGTCTTTTCAAATTGACCCACTATGCCTCTATACTTATCAACTGCTGCTGATCTTTCCTTTTACCTTTCCTAGTTTTTCCAAAATGCTGGATCTTCGCATTCAAAGTAAGATAATTTGAGCATCTTCATTCACTCCTCGACTGATAACTGATCTGATTAATCAAACAAAAAAAAGGCCCCAATGCCTTATTCTGCCCAATTTTAAAACTTTTTTGCTAAGTGATAAAAATGCATCTGATTATTTGAATCGATGTAAAATAATTAATGAGTTTTTAAGGGCAAGTGAAAAATTCATAAATGCGTTTCAGTGTTCATTATGTGGCAAATCATTTGCATCGCATGCAGCGCACGACAGTCACGTACGTCGAACTCACGCATCTCAAACTTTATTTCAGTTTAAATGTGAATTTTGCGACAAAACATTTCAACATAAAAGGCACCTTAACTTTCATCAACAATCTGTCCATCATTTGTTATGTAATTCTTGAAAAACTTTTTCACCTCCATTTATCATTTATAATATATTATGTTTACTTATTTTATTATTGACACTATTTTTATTTGCACAATTTCGTGAATAAATTTTTAAAGAAATTCGCGAAACGATTTGTTCCACTAACGGAATCCAAAAGACGAAAATTATTTGTCAGTTCTCTTTGAACTATGATTCTTCTTCTAACAGCGACAGCGCGCACCATTGCCCCATTAGAAGGTTTCCAGTGTGTGGGAAATAAAAATTTCAACCGAATGTCATGTCCGAAACTGACCAAAACCACTGGTTTTCCTATAATTGTGATTATCGATAATTGTGATCATCTATTTTGTTAATAATATTTAATTTTTCCATTTGTTTTCCACTTTTTTTCCTGAATTGGCTAATAAATTTTTATTTCATTACGATCCATACGATATAAAAATCATTCTGCGTCGATGCTAAGCCTTGATTATTAAGGTCCATTTTTGCGAAGATTCATGCGTTTGCCATTTAAATTGAGGGATCCAACCTCATGTGACTATAAGTTTTCATTTAAAAATGTTTGATTGTTGAATTTAGGATAGGGTTTAAGATGAACTCTAGTTCGATGTTCCAGATATTCTAATATAATTTAGATGTAATTTCATGCATTTCTATTAAAAGTGACCAATTAGACCTCCTCAGTCCTTTATACGGAAATAAAATAACTCGGGAAATAAAAAAATTTCTTGTATTTATGCATAATTCAGAACAAAACTCCATAGTTTGATAGTCCTAATTAGCGCAGTACTTTTTTATGTTTGAATTGGGCAATTTTTTCTTTCTTCAATTACTGTCGATGGCACAGCATGACCTCTGACCCTGTGATCACGCTGTATGACTTGTTTTTCTTTTTTTTCTCCTCCATTAACGAAAATAAATCAGTAGTTTTCCCAATATTTGACTTTTCACCATATAGTTTCAGATAAAACTTATTCTTCACATTCTTTATAGCACAACAAAACAGCAATATAGAGCCAAATTTTGTCCGAATCGGGGAACGTAATTCTAGCACCTTTGCTTTAATGCAGCATCTGTCAAAATCGCATTTTTTATTTCTTCTAACACAAACGTAGTGGTTGAGCGGGATGTTGCTTGGTGTTTGGTGAATAAAAATGAAATCCGTATAATGCTGAGAAGCCTTCTGCATTTCTGCTTTCACAATTGATTTCTGCCAAATAGCTCTCACCTTAGTAGTTTCTTAATACCACTGGAATCAACCAAACTAGAAATGGTGCGTGAGGTCAAAAGAAGAAGAATTACATGAAAAAGAGATGGTTTAGAATGGGCAAAAAAAATACATACATCCTTTCTTCTTAGTGAGGAACAAGTTCATGGCGGTGAAGAAAAGCATCGCAATAACACCACTAATAAATTTGATCATTCATACCCGAGGCACAGTCCGCTACGGGATTGTCCGCGACGCCGCATCCAGCTCGGATATTGCATGATGGGCTAGGCGACGCTCTTCCGCCTATTACCTCTCGGCAATTACCTCGCAAATGCCGAACGCCGGACCGACGGCTGTGCACATCGATTAAAAAACCCCAGCCAGTGTGTCTAGAAAGAATCGGGCTTCAAGCCTAAAGCTCTTTCGCCACCTTCAGACAATAGAACAACTTGAAATGCCTCGCCGTTCAGGCAATGCGGTCAGCCGAATTATCACTTATGGCGCTCGCCTTTTAAACGAGGTGCGATGATGAGAAATAAAACTGTCTTTAAGTGGAAAAATACAATAATAGCAAAATACCGAACACACTTTTACTTTCATGGGGAATTTTCAAAAAAGATGAATATGGCGCTGTTAAATACAAAATTAATTTTAAAACGACATTCGTATACCGTAGTTTATCTTTGGCGGGAAAATTTCTATTCATTCCATTTTAAATTTGTATTAAAAAACTTTTTCAAATTCTTCTTCTTCAAACGCCGTTCACTATTCCTGGTTAGGCAGGCTTCAACGTCTACAAGGGTAAGACGCTTCCAAGTGGCGGGGTCTGATGCCTTAGTCGACAGTGATAGAAGCCATTCCTTTTTCCATCGTCTAAGTCCATATATCGCTGTTCAAAATCTTTCCTGACCGTTCCGCCCAAGTCTTCTTGATTGGCCCTCCTCGCTTTTGGCGCCAACCATCAAAGGGTTTAGCAGGTAACAAATATGGGTCAACTCCTGCGGTGGATGATGGAGAACATGCCCTAGCCAGCGAAGGCGACGCTTTATGATAACATTATTAAAGTGATATCTGAACGATAGTGAATGCGATCATGTGATATTTGATCCGCTCGACTTATCTATACCTTAGACAAGAGTGGTCAAAGGCAGATAATTTCTTAATATCCTCCACTTCATTGGCCATGTCTCAGAACCATATAGTAAGATCGAGCGGATCACGGCAATATAGATGCGGACTTTTGTTTTTATGGTGATTTCACGACGATTTCATAAAGGTTTCGTCAACCGGAAGAACGCATTTCTAGCTGCCGTGATCCGAATTATAATATTATCTTTTGCCTGTCCATTTGGTATTAGAGTGGACCCAAGGTATTTGAAATCGGGCACTTCCTCAACCGGCAATGAATTTACAAAAAGAGGCATTTTATTAGCTTCTTTCACATAAAACGAAAAGATTTTCGTTTTATTTACATTGAGTCCTATTCTTGCTGCAGTTTTCTGACACGTTATTTAGCATTACTTGCGTGTTGGTATAACTGTCAGCAAAAAGGACTGCGTCATCAGCGTATTCTAGGTCTTTGATGCGATGCTCTGGACTAATTCGGACACCTTGGACACCTCTTGAGTGCCAACAAGCAGTGTCCATTATCCAGTCTATTGCATAGTTGAATGTTGTGGGGAAAACGGATTGTATGCTTATCGCATGTACCACCGGGTTCGAAGTATCATGCGCGGACGCCGTATGCCGTATCTGACCCTTTCACCATAGAGTCACTTGGTGATAGAGTTACAAGTGGGTCCCCAGCAGCCATCCGGATTTTTGACATAATAGCAGGTTTACTCCAGCCAAAGACAAAAAAAAAATTAAATTTGAAGAAAATAAAATGGGCAATGAAATTTAAAAAATAATATGTATATGATTACATGTATATATATATATTATATATAATTTTATATATATATATATAAAATTTGGATGTCATCACAAGCACAGTGTAATGCTCGGTAAATGAACAGAACAGGGCTTATTTGCAAACCACCCTTAAATTTTATATATATATATATATGAGATGTATATAAATATATATTATTTAATTATAATTTAATTGATTTGATTTAATTTAATTGATTTAATTTTAATTTATTTTATTTTAATTTTAATCGTTGTTTGGTAAAAAAAAAAATTAAAAGTTCTAGAGAACTTAGCTGAATTGTTATCAGAAATAATTTTCGAATAAAACAAAATAAATCGCGAATAATTTCTTAAAACGACCGCTCGCCAAACAAAAATTTTCATTTATTTTTTGGAAAACATTTAATGAAAATATATTAGAAATTTAATCGAAATTACATTTTCTGCCTTTTTCTACAATTAATAGAAATATTCAAGTATGAGTGAATCGTAAATTCAATTCAGTACGCCTCAGATTATTACGAATTTCTTACCGAAAATACTTGTTGCTTAACCAATTTGGTGATGTAAGCAGTTTTCATCCGCTCATTCGCAGTATTTCATCATTTATATAGTTCACTTCAATTTTCATATTGTTTATATATTTTTATTTTCGTATTTGTCGATAATTTGCTGATCGGCTAGCAGATAGGAATTATAGTTACATTTCTAAGAATCATAGTTCACCTTTCCAACATTGCCTGTATTTCGATGTTGGAGATAGGTTTATTGCCGTTTAAAAAACGAACTCACAAAATGAACATTTTGTTATCTAGGCACATAGATTGCATAACATCAGTTGGCGTGGGCTTTAAGAACCATTGTGGCTCTTATTACTCTCATTTTTAGTTATTATTAATACTGTTATTAAAATTAATATTATTAATATTTCTCGTTTTCTAATTTTAATATTTTTTCTGGTTTTTTCATTTGGTCTTTGTGAGATACCTTTTTTTCAAAAATTTTCAATATCATTGACATTGACATTTTCAATATCAATATCAAGATATTAATGAATTCTTATAATAACCAATTTGCACGAAAAAAGCTCGAATTGAATTGCATCTTTATGTGTTTAACATTGGTGTATCGGATGACGTACAAATTTTATATGATTTGATAATTTTATAATTGTAGATAATAATTGTTCACAACAGTATTTTTGTTGAATAAAATGACTATAATTAATATTGATGGAATTGAAATCAATTTTCCTTACGAGCCATATCAGTGTCAGATTACTTTTATGAAAAAAGTTATTGAATCTTTGAAAAATGTAAGTCCTGCGCACTTAAAAATTTTTTTAACTTTCTAATTTTATATATTTAATTATTTCTTTTTAATATCTAATTTATATATCTAATTTATTTCTTTTTAATGACAGTCTTTTTTCTAATTTAAAGAGAGACAATTTTATCAGAATTCACTATTCATTGCACCACTGCATTGATGGCATGATAACGTATATTTTATATTTCTCTTTCCTCTTGTCCTTATTTTTTTCCTCACCAATCATTTTCTTTATTGGTCTTTTCTATCTCGTATTGTTTACTTATTTGTAAATAACGAAGCGTGACAGGTGCCATATGCTTATATCACGCTGCATGCAAGTGCCAACAAGGAGATCAGTAGAATCGGTGAAAAATATATATGCAAGATCAAAAACTAAAGAATAAAATAAATCTTATGTTGAAAGACCATGATTTCGAACTTCTTACGTAAAGAACTTTTAAATAATATTATCAATATCATAGTTTAATCTTTTATTTTATATATATATATTTATATATACATGTGCATCATTGGGCAATTTATTCAAGTGGTATAATGTGAAAGATTTAAATGAGTTCTTAATTTAGAATTAAGAAAAGGTTTTAATGGTTTTATCTTATTAGATCTCTCTTCAGATTTAATATAAAATTATAATATTTTGAATAAATAACATTTTATATATAAAAAGCGAGTCTAGATTATATAATTGAAGATTTTTAATTAAAAATATTGTTAGGGAGGGAGGAAGGAGCAATATACGAAGTATTTCTGGAGTTCTTAAATTAAATTAATTTAACGTCTAGGAAATAGCAGTCGTATTATAATCACACAAAGACCTTTGAGCGCTTTGTATACTTCGACAAGAAAGTTTTGATCTTAGAATCATAGAATTAAAATTCAATATTTTGGAGATTTCTTTAAACATTCTTTAGTTTCATAAAATAGTCGATTCAGGGTTGGAATGCAGCTTTGGAATCCCCTACTGGTACTGGTAAAACACTTTGTTTATTATGTGCTTCTATCGCTTTTGTTAGACATTTGAAATCGAAGATTCCTGTAGATGAAGTTGATAAAGGTTAATAACTTTATATATTTTTTTGTTCAGCAGCAGTATTAATTTAGTTTTCATTTTAAACGTTCATTGGACATTAGATGTGGGGATGTGGCTGAGATCATGTTGAAAGGGGAAGGACTATTGCCATCGAGAGGAATGAACCTGTCATTGAAAAGAATCATTAATCGGTAGATACAGGCGACTGGCGGATTGCCTGGCATAAATTTACTAAAGTCAGATTAACCAGAAACGTTTTTTTCATTGTTACATAATGCTCGTTTTAACAAGTATAATGTGCATTTGCTAAGCCTTCTTAAATTTTCTATATTCATTACAAAATCGAACCTATCTTTTAAATTTCTTTTTGTATTTTTGATGAACAGTTGTAGAAGCTTTAATCTTTAAAATAGAAGCTTTATTTTAATTTTTCAGATATAGCTTCACTGTATCCAAAAATTTTATATTCTTCACGCACACATAGTCAGCTAGCTCAGGTAATTCGCGAACTGAATAAAACTATTTACAGAGAGTTAGTTATTTTCGATCCTTTTCATCCATTTGGTAATTATCATACTTATAAAATATGATAATGAATAGTTTTGTTCTTGAGTCAGGGAGTTATTTTGAAATTTTTGAAGTCTTTTTCTTCATCTAGTAGGACTGAGAAAGGCGATTATTGCACTTTCTTTTTAAAGCATCGTTTTATATTGTTAATTTCAGCACTAAAACAGTTACATTAGCCTCACGTGACATATTATGTATTCACGAAAATGTTCAGAAGGAAGCGAATAATATTATCAAGTCAATGGTGTGTCGTAATTTGGTCAAAAAGAGAAAATGCCATTATTTCAATGAATACGATAGTTCTTTTTTATCTTATTAATTACATAATATAAATAATAAAACATTAATAAAATAAAGAAAATTGATAAGAAAAGTACCTTGAAATGACTTCATTAATTTTGTTTTATCCCCTTTCACAATTTCCATTAATGAATTTTAATATACTAGAAGAGAGAAAATTCTTCGATTTTGGCATTTTGTATTGTTTTTTACAACACTTTGAAAAGAAAGCTGAATAAAACTGTTGAGAAGAGTTGGTTATAAGAGTTAGCTTAATTTAAATAAAAAAAATGGATTAATTCATCAATGCATTCTCACCTAATATAATGATAATATTTTTAGTATTTATGTTTATTTCCTTCGCAAGTTTCCATAAATTTTCTTAAGAACGAAAATTATCATGAAATTTTGAAATTTTAAAATGAAATTTTTAATTTATTCTTTAAGGATATACTACCGATGCGCTTGATATGATTTACAATAAATGTGGTGAAGTACCTGATATTGAAGATTTAATAGCAATAGCCAAGCGACACAGGTAATGTTTTTCAATTTTAAATTGCTTCTTAAACTTGTAAATTTTTTATTTTGTTTATGGAGCATTAAGAAAAGAGCGTTATAATTGCACAATTTTGATGCAATTATTTCTAGATTTTTTTATTTTTTAGCCCTCTCTTTGCGATTTATATATTAAAAATTTCTTTCTGTGGTCTTTATATTTTCTGATTCTGATTTTATAGGCAATGTCCATTTTTTCGAGTTCGTTCATCATTTGAAACAGCAGATCTTATATTATTGCCTTACAATTATTTAATAGATCCCCGTCTTCAGCGTTTAAATGATATCAAATTGAAGGGAAACATTGTTATTTTTGATGAGGCACATAATTTGGTTCGTTATTTTTCTTCATGTAAGAGAATTTGCTGGATTCATGTCAACAGATTGTTTAATTTATTTTTCTCATAAAAAAAATTGTAAGTGGTATGGGTTATCATATCGTCAACCTTGTAAGTGGTATGGGTTATCATATCGTCAACCTTGGATCAACATCTACTCTATTAGTAGGAGTTTTAGGATTGTGCTTCTAACAGGTTTTATTACTGGAATCTGTTGGATCTTTTATAAGTTAAGGGTGATAGCTTCAAATGTTCCTATTCTTTTTTTTTGATGGCTCTCATCATTACTGATTAGAATGGCTCCGCTGGCTACAAGGATAAGACATCTTCGAGCTATGATTTTATGACGAGTCTATAAAGATTTTATCTATCGGAAAAAACCGTTCCTGGCTGCCATTATCTGCGTTGTAATTTTGTCTTTTGCTTTGCCATTTAGAAGTGGGGTGGATCCGGGATATTTGAAATCTAGCAGTTTCTTAACCGGCAAAGAATTGATTAAAATAGGTATTTTATCAGCTTATTGAAAATGAGACGAAAAGACTTTTAGACTTTTATTTACATTAATCCTAAGTCCGATTCTCGCTGCAGTTGCTGGCACTTGTTTAGCATTATTTGCATTTGTCAGCATAAAGGATTATATCATCAGCGTATTCAAGATCTGTGACATTATGCTCTGGACTGATTTGTATCTTCTTGAGTGCCGACGAGCGGTATCCATTACCAAGTCCATCGCATGGTTGAATATTGTAGGGGATAGAATTCAGGCTTGATAGACACTAGTTTTTATTTCAAAAGAATATATCATATACACAGACCTAATATACGCAGATAAAACGCCTTTATGAGGCAAATAATCTCTGGAACACCGTCACTTTCCATCACCCTCCAAAGCGCTGTTCCATTAACTGAATCGAAGGCAGATGCAAAGTCGACCGCGTGACGGTAGGTTGCAAATATTTGAAGCGATGTTCCAACATTCCAACACCCTTATTAGCTTGAATATCTTGTCGGCACAAGCGTATCTTGGTCTGAATTCAGCTTGATTAGGGTGTATCCTGCTGTCTCGTACTGCCATAAATTTATTCAATAGAAGGGAAGCAAAAATTTTCTCGATGATGTCTTTTTTCGATAATTATATGTCATGTCATCTTTCAAAAACTGGACTGGAAACAAATTTACTTTGGTTCAGCTATCTGATATTTCTTTTCTCCATGCCAGAGAATATATTTGTTGGATATAAAGTGATATGAAGGGCTATGGATAATATTTAAAGATTTAAACCAGAAGACTGTCTTATCTTGGAGTTTTATTGGCGTCAAGCTTTTATATATATATGGCTCGACGAGTGAATGAGCTATGTCTAAGACAACAACTTATCACGGTTAAGCTTAGCTTCAAAGATTTCCTTCCATCTAAAACGATAATCTTAGCAGGCACACAATTGCTATCTCTTGCCATTTCACTGACCTGTTATAATTCGCGAGTTATAGTTGCTTTGTGAAGAAAGGAGAATAGTTTCCTATTATCGTAATCGAGCTGCCATTTCCATTTTCAAGTCCATAGCACTCTAATATTTCTGTCATGCCGAATTGCTATTATTATAATTCTTCAAAGTATCCGGTAGCCATTGTCGCCATTGTCTTTTGACATTCTTTCTTCTTGTCTTGACCATATTCTGATAATGATTTATGCAGGTTGTTTTGAATTGACTTTTAGTATCGTTTTCCAAGATCTCCTTGAGTTCTTAATAAAGATCTTTAGATTCTATTGATTCTATTGATTTTGCATTGCGTCAGAATTCACAATATCCGTGTGTGGGTACTAAGTCATAGACTTTAATCATTCCAGATTATGCTTAGGTCTCTTTGAACTATGTTCATATACTGGTTCATATCTTGGCTGATATATTGCTTGATAAGATTTTCCACGTTGTGGAGAAAGATTTTGGGAAATGCTGGTAGTTGGTCGATGTTGTTCTCTTTAGTCTGATAATCAGACTAAGTTTCTTTAGCCATTAGGTGTGGATTATCACATATTATCCAGGCATTATCAACTTTTTACGTTTTTGATGGTAAATTATTCTTTCTCTCAGAGACTGTTATGTATGAATGTTGTGTAGTGATTATTGTGAATCTTTCAATTTTTTTTCATATATTCTTCATTTTTCACTTTCTGTTGTGTTGTTACGTTCGTTGCATTGCATTTAAAGGCACATCTTGGATGATTCTTGCGAAGAGGAGCTGGTGGTTAGTAGCTGTAATTTCTGGTAAAATGTAGCCTTTTATTTTTTCATTATTCAAATCCTACCTTTAATTTCCATATCGTTTTTATTAGCGGACTAGCTTCTTGTGATATTTGATCTTGATTTCCCTGATCTTGTTCTCTAGCCTCATTTTCCATTATCGCACTGTATCTCACACCTGGCTTATATACATTGCTATTTTTCTTGATTTGGCTGTGGCGTATATCAGTTCATTTGTTTCTGTTATGGTGGTAAACCAGATGATCTCGAGAATTGATTATGCCTCCATGCTTTGTATGAGGATGTTTGAAGCGAATTTCCAGCTTCCCACGAGTTGAGAAAGGAGATTTCTTTTTTTACATTAAACAGTTGGATGATTTTTCATTTATTATGGATATAGATCTTTTGATCATCCACAACTCCTTCATGCGTTTCCCTTAGCATTCCAACAGCTACACTTTATGGTCCACTTGTTTTCTGTAGCCCTTTGGTGTGGTTATAGTCCACTTACTATCATATACAGATGCTCCTGGTTCCACAATATGAAGATGACCTTGTTATTCTAAGCATTATTTGAGCCGATATGAGTAAAACTCTCATATAGTTAACTTTCCTATATTTGGTAGCCTAGCTTAACTGTTATATTCTAATCTATTAATTTTTAAAAAATATTCTTTTCTGTACTATAATATTTTATAGTTTAAAAAACTTTATTATTTAATATTTTTTTCAAGGGTTTAGGAATCAATTTGTGAAGAATCTGTATCGGTTTCATTTTCTTCAGAAGAATTGAGGGGTGCGATACGTGAAGCAAAAACTGTTTTAGAAATGATACTGAAGGATGATGAAGAAATTCGAACGATTATGGTAGTTTCTTTAATTTTTATTTTATCCTTAAGACTCTTATTTTTCTGTAGAAAAATCAAATATTTATTTGGTAATTTATTAATATTTTATTCTTAAATCTTGCTCTTCTATAGAAAAATATCAAATATTTAAGGACAACACTGATGCACCTTTTGGACAATTAAATCAAGAAAAAAGAGAAATATTTGTGGAGAAGAATGATGTTGCCATGTTGCTATGTTAGTTGTTTTTTTGCAATTTCGCTGAAGAAAATTTTTCAAGATTAAGTTAATTTTAAAATTGTTATTTACCTAATTTTCATTTTTTTAAAAATTTAATTGGTTAGACATTTTTTTTTATATTTGTCTTTTGGAATCTCTAAATTCTCTTTTTTTTCTGCAGTTTTTTGTTAGTTCATTTTTAGCTCAACTTCAAACGCTGGAAAATGTCTTGGATAATTTTAAAAATAATATTACCGGTCGGTCTGTTGCAAAGTTGGATGGTCAAGTTTACCCAGGAACTAAAATGATACAGTTACTTGAAGAAGCTAAAATACGCAAAGATTTTCGAGATAGAATTGCGCGCTTAACTGATAAAATTGGGCAATATCTTACGCATAAAAGTTCACTTTAATTTTCATAATTTTACCTCGAAAATAATTTATATGCCGAGAATAATCTTAAGAATCATCGTTGATTTCTAAAATATTATATTGAAAAATGGCATAAATAAATAATGGCATAAAAAATGATAAAAATGGTTATATTAAAAAATGATTTTAACAACAATGAAAAATTGCTATTTCGGGTCTATTTCTTCTGCTATTATTCTGTTCCATTTCTTAGGGTTATTAAGTTATTTTTTTGTAATTTAATACTTTTCAATTTTCCTTTGCCATTCTAATGAATTTATATTGCAGCCGAACAAGAAGATGAAGCTGTAAAGGGTGTTTATTTGCAACTTTTTTCATCATTTGTTTCTACAGTTTATGCAGATAGTTATGATCCATTAAAGCCTTTGTTTGAAATTAAAACTCCTCAGGCTGAAAATGCTTATCTTCATCGGACAGCTGTCACTTTTGCTGAGAAATATCAGGTTTTGCTACAGTGCGAGTTATAAAAAATTTTTTGTCAAAGGAAATTAGGCAAAATTTTCCCTATAAATTCTTTTTATCTTAACAGCTTTATTAAAATATTTCAATGTTTTAGTTATATGTAACCAATGAGGATTCGAAAATCATTCTTAATTATTGGTGCTTCAACCCTTCGATTGCTATGTGGTTAATTAACTTTTTTTCATTAACTAGATGATCTGTCTGACCATTATTTCATTCACTAAAAAAATTTTTTTCTATTTTTTTTCTAAATTTCGTTCGTTTTATTTTATCAAAAGCTTAATATAAAATTTTATTAATATGATAATAATTTATATCATAATAACATAGCTTATATTTCGATATTCAATAAAATTTTGCTTTGTAGAAAGATGTAAGAAATATTTTTTATTTTTGCAGATTCAGTAATAAATGAATATTGTGAAATGAATAAATTTTTAAGGAATATGTACTCTCTTAATGTTCGCTCAGTAATAGTCACAAGTGGAACATTATCACCACTTGATGTTTTTACTAATAATCTTGGTATAACATTTAAAATTAAGTTGGAAAATAATCATATTGCCAATACTTCGCAAATTATTGGTGCATGTATTAGAGCTGATAAACAAGGCACACCACTTTGTGGTACTTTTAATCGAAGGCAAACTTTTCTTTTATTTTTTAAAATAAATTTCATACTTTATCTGATATTATCTGATATTATTATGATATATTAAAATATTTCAAATTTCTATTACATAGTCTGTTAATATTTAATATTTTAGAAATGACAATTATTTTTCTGGTATTGCTGATGTGATAACTGAAGCTTGCAAGATTATACCAGAAGGAATTTTAGTATTCTTTTCTTCATATACGATCATGAATCTTAGCTTAAATAAGTGGAAAGTATGTTTAAAAATATTAAATAAAATATTTTTTGAATGGATATTGCCTTATTTGCTTATTTTTATATATATTTTTATATGAATTAAAAATTTTGGAAGGCTTAGGTTTGAGGTTTGGAAGGCTTGAATGATTAATTTTTTGAGGATTTAAGACGAAAACTCTGTTATATTTAATTAAGGAAAAAAAATCAAATGGTCAATCAGTTTGGTCAGAAATGGGTCGACTAAAGAAATTGTTTGAAGAACCAAAATCAAAATCTGAATTAAAAATAATATTGGCAAGATATAAAGAAAGTATAAAATATGATGGGGGAGCGGTTTTATTCGCTGTTTGTAGAGGGAAGGTATATATTTAATCGTTATTTCTTAAGTCAAAGGATTGCTGATATTCGTTATGTGTGGCTTTTAATGTTGTTTGCATCATTTTCTTCCGATACTATGATGAAATTTTCAGAAAAATGATTAGGAATTTCTGACGAACCATTCAAGAAAAGTTTTAAGCAAAGCTAGTCGTGAAAAATGAAAATTTTTGAAGTTCGTAATTGGGAGATTAATTATGTAAATGGTAAATTGAAATATTGATTTTGAAAGGTAAGTGAGGGTATAGATTTTGCCGACAATGAAAGTCGTGGTGTTGTTGTGGTTGGCATTCCATTCGCACCCGTTAATGACGCTAGAGTCGAATTAAAAAAACAATTTTTGGCGCAATCGAACGCTGGTAAATTATCAAAAAACGTTAGTTTTTTATCTTTTAAATTATTATTGTCGTTATTTTTAATATCTTTAGGATTTTGTTTTAAATTATTATCTTCTTCCTTACTTTTTCTTTTTTTCATAGCAGCTAAAAAATGAACAAACTGTAAAATCACTAATGAAAATGGAAAGTTCGCAACCGTGATTCGTTCAATCTTGCTATATGGCTCTGAAACATGGCCAATGAGAGGGGAAGATATTAAGAAATTATATGCCTTTGACCACTCTTGTCTAAGGTATATTTTACGGGTTTGCCGAATGGATAAAATCTCACAAGATCGCATCCACCTTCGTTCAAATACCACTTGCATAAACAATCACAGAGCGCCGCCTTCGCTGATTAGGGCAGATTCTCCGTCGTCCACCACAGGAGTTGACGCATTTCGTTATTTGCTAAACCGTGTCACGGTTGGCGTCAAAAGTGAGGTGGGCCAATCAAGACCTGGACTGATACGGTGAGAAAAGATTTTGAATGTATAGGTGGACCAGTAATATATGGACTTAGACGATGGAAAAAGGAATGGCTTCCATTATTGTCGACGATGGCATCAGACCGCCCCGCTTGGAAACGTCTTACCCTTGTAGCCGTTGGAGCCGGCCTAACCAGTAATGGTGACAGTTGTTAGAAAAAGAAGAAAAAATAAATATAAAAGATAAATATAAATATAAATATAAAAGAGGGGAATAAATATCTTTTTAACAGTGTAATGGGCTTTTTTATATTGGGACAAATATACGCACACAAACGACATTGAATCAGGCAAATAAAATAAAACTTGTCACAGTCGAAAATGACAATTTTTTGAAAAAACCTGAAATTTAATAAATCAGTTCACCCCCCATTTAATACAGTACAATAAGCTTAATAAATCCGCTAATCAGAATCTGATAAACTGATTTGAAAAATTTTTTTATTACAAATTAAAAATGGAAATCAAAAATGTCCATTGTCCTTCATAACGCACCTTCAACTCTCTAGTATGGAAAAAAGAAATATCCAGAAAGAAAAAAAAAGAAATTACCAGATGATTGGAGCAAAGAAATCCTGCTCTTAATTCTCAAGAAAAGTGACAGGACATACTGCGACAATCAGCCTATTAGACGTCTCAGGGCAAATTTTCACTTCCCTATTATTCATCAAAATTATGGAAGTACGAGACAGCAAGATGCGCTCCAATCAAGCTGGATTCAGACCGGGGTGCGCTTGTGCTGATCAGATATTTACGTTAAGAAGGGTGCTGCTGCCTTTGATTCAATTGACAGAGCGGCGCTTTGGAAAGTGATGGAACGCGACGGTTTTCCACAGAAGACCATTCGACTCATAAAGCATTTTATGAACGCACATCGGCGCAGGTCCGTGTATATGGGGAACTGACGGAAGAGCTGGTGTCCGTCAAGGTTGTGTCTTTTCCCTTACAATATTCAACCATGCGATAGACTGGATAATGGACACCACTTGTCGGCACTCAAGAGGTGTTCAAATCAGTCCAAAGCATCGTATTATAGATCTTGAATACGCTGATGATGAAGTCCTTTTTGCTGACAGTTACGACCGAAATGCAAGTAATGCTAAATAACGTGTCAGAAAACTGCAGCAAGAATAGGACTTAATGTAAATAAAACGAAAATCTTTTCGTTTTATGTGCAAGAAGCTAATAAAATGCCTCTTTTTGTAAATTCATTGCCGGTTGAGGAAATGCTTGATTTCAAATACCTTGGGTCCACTCTAATATCAAATGGCTAGACAAAAAACGATATTATAACCCCGATCACGGCAGCCAGAAATATGTTTTTCCGGCTGACGAAACCTTTATGAAGCCGTTGTGAAATCACCATAAAAACGAAAGTCCACATCTATATTGCCGTGATCCGTTCGATCTTACTATATGGCTCTGAAATATGGCCAATGAGAGTGGAGAATATTAAGAAGTCATCTGCCTTTGAGCACTCTTGTCTAAGGTATAGATCCGTCGAGCATGATCGCATCGTTCAGATATCACTTTAATTATGTTATCATAGAGCGTCGCCTTCGCTGGTTAGGGCATATTCTCCGTCATCCACCGCAGGAGTTGACCCATATTTGTTACCTGCTAAACCCTTTAATGATTGGCGCCAAAAGCGAGGAGGGCCAGTCAAGAAGATTTGGGCGGAACGGTCAAGAAAGATTTTGAACAGCGATATATGGACTTAGACGATGTGAAAAGGAATGGCTTCTATTACTGTCGACTAAGGCATCAGACCTCGCCGCTTTGAAGTATCTCTTATTCTTATAGCCGTTGGACCTAACCAGTAATGGTGAGAGCTATTAAAAGAAAAAGAAGAAAGAATCACTAATAAACAGAACTAAATTTTCCATTAATATTTCACATAATCTAATAATATTCTATATAATATTAGGCATTAACATCCGATGAATGGTATCAAGTAGATGCAATACGAGCTGTGAATCAAGCAATAGGTCGCGTATTAAGGCATAAAGATGATTATGGTGTAGTCGTGTTAGTTGATCTAAGGTGATTTGAAGTTGATTTTTTTGAAAATGATTTAATACGCTTTTATTTAATTTTTATATATTTTTTTTAAAGATTTTGCGTTTTTATATTTTTTTTTAAAGATTTTGCGTTTTGGATCGGGAAAAATATCCAGCTTGGATGCGCGGTGCAATTAATAATTACACTGATATAAAAATGTTTAAAGAAGAATGCCAGCGTTTCTTCGATTTGTATGATTCTAAGGTAAGGTAATCTTGTAGGCGAGGTTTTTATGTTTATAATTTAGATTTTGCATATAAATCAAGTATTATAAATTAAAAATTATTCGACCAGTTACATTACAGATCTAGTATTGCAATATTTCAGCCCCATTCAAAAAAGAACATTCGTGGAAGTTCATTTTTAAGAATCGGAAGTGATTTGCTAAAAGATAAGAAGAAGGAACTGCGGCCAGTAACACAAGCCACTGAAAGCTGTTTAGTGACCACTATGAATGATATTTATAGCAATTTTTCAATTCAGGCAACTACTAAGAAAGAAATTTCAGCTCCTGCATCGTCTAATCTTCTTGAACAAATTGTGCGCTTCTCTTCAATGTTGCGAATTTGCTTTCTTTTAAAAACCATTTTAATAAAATTAATTACTACAACTTCTTCACTAGTCCATTTTTCATTTACAAGATTTCAGAAAAATTGCATTCCGAATTATTTTTAGTCTTGTAACGAAATTATTTTTGTAGCTGAGCAACTGCTTTGAAGACATTTTAAAATATTATCTTTCATATTTTTTTCTATTTATCTAGCAAAATTTACTTTTATATACTTGTCAAATATTCACGAATTATTTTTAGGAAAGTTCTTTGGCAATGAAAGGACAATATAATGAATCTAAAGTAACTGGGTATGCTACAAGTAAAGTCAATCAAACTATGAATTTTTCAATGAAAAGGCTATTCAATGATAATGATTTTAAGCGGAAAAGATTGAGGATTTCGGTATTATTCTTTTAGCAACTATCACCATTAATAAAAGCCATTCCTTTTTCCATCGTCTAAGTTCATATATTGCTCGTTCATCATCTTGCTCCAGTAGCGATTTCTGTCCAGCAAGCTGCTGTTATTGCAGTTCTTAGAAGTATTCTATAGCCACGATCTGCTGCCATTCATGGAGTGGGTCTTTTCAGACAATAATTACCCACCCCATTTCTTTCTGAGTTATCCGAAATATCACATTGATAAAACCAGTAACTCTATTCAAAGCCAGGCTTAATAGCTACTTGAGATCCGAAGTGAAGACGGATCTCCGACGAGCAGGTGATATTTGAAAAGAGTGTGGGCATTCACTTGGCTTACAGTATCCATAAGCGTTCTGATGTTTCACGCTGCCATGCCACATCGCGGCTCGTGCAGAGAGTCGTCTCTTGATAGGTTTTGAGCTATAACCTAGTTGGCGAGCACATGCTCTTTACAAACCGGATTGTATACATATATATATATACTTATATATATATATATATATATACTGTACCACCATGTTAGGAGTATCATGCTCCTCAGAGGTCACCAAGAATATTACATTCTTTTACCGTAGAGTCATTTGGGGATAGAGTTACTGTTCCCAACAACCATCTGGATTTTTGATATGACAGGCTTATTTCTATCGAAAACAAGGACATAATAGAAAAATTTTAAAAATGAAATATAAGGAAAAACAAACTTAAAAAATTCATAATATATGGTGTCCAAACGAATAATTTTAGTAATCCTTTCTAAACCTCATAATTAATGAAACAAATTTTAAAAAATCTCATTTATTCAAAATCCTATTGAAAAACATTAACATTACTATAGACTATAAACTTGAAAGATAAGAAAATGTGATATTTTTAAATATCACTTACGTTAATGATTTACATGAATAGAAGGCTTTCTGTATTTTCGTTTATTTTTTTCAGGAAAAATCATTTGCATCTTTTTGCGATGAAGAACATGAAGAAAATGAAAATATGAAAACTTGGCGTCGAACACCGATTCAATTTAGCCTTTTAGTAAAATTAATTCTTTTTTTGGTATATTGGTATAGAGTTTCTCAGGATTTTTAGAATTTTCAGGACTTTTCTCTTTAATTGAAGCTTTTCAAAAAAATTGGGGATTTTTTGGTTATTTTTTCCTTTCCTTAGCATTTCTATTGAAAACGATTCTTCTACTTTTATTCAGTACTTTTTTTCTTTTTTTCTCTTCGCTATTCACTTTTAATTAAAGCAAAATTTGCGAAATTTTTAGTTAAAACAGTTATCATCAGTGGAAACACAGCAGAATATCAAAGATGCTTTTAAAGCCTATAACAGAAATGACGTGAACGTGGAATCTTTTTTGAATACTGTAGCTGTAGCAACGGTTCCAAATCATTCTGAAATATTCAAAGGTGTCTTTGCCTATAAAATATGAGGCGTTATCAGACCAATTTTTTTTTCTTTTTTTATAAGAACTCTTCTTCTTGTTATATCAAAAGAATACAAATTTCAAATTTTTTCTTTTCTTTAGACCCTTATGGGATCGTATTCATTTATTATTTTGTTTATTTTATAGGCAAATCATTTATATTTTTT